GAGCGTCATGCAAAATTAGCTCAGCCTCTTCTGGCTCATCTTTCATGATGCTCAACTGAAAAGAGAAAACAAAGAAAATAAAATGTAGAGAAAGCATATGCATTTGTAACCAGACAGAAGTGGTTATCGATATATATCGCAATATATAGAAGGAAGCTATTCATTCATTCATCAAATATTTATTGAATTCCTACTACGTAGCAAGCATTATGTCTATAATGTCTATAGCCTCCTTTGCAAGCACGTGTGGCCATATGACAAAGTTTTGGCCAACAAATGCAGACAAAAGGAATGTGAGCAATTTTTACATATTTTATTATTTTATAAAGAAGCTCCTTGCCCTACATCCTCTTTATCTTTTCCTGCAGGCTGGAAGTGACCCTGTAGGTCAAATAAGCTTAATTACAACTAATGATAAAAGCTAGGAAAGGAACAATAAAGGTCTCTATACTGGAGTCAGAAAAGCTTTTTGAGGAAGTGATAATTAGAGATAGAATATTTAAAAGTCAACCAAATAAGAAATTGTAGGGGAAAATGACCCAAACAGGGAGTAAGGAACAAGCAAAGGCCCTACAGGCTGAAGAGAAGGATTCTTTAAAAACCATTCAAAAAATGAAAAGAAAAGGTGAGAAAGGAGGATGGTGAGTCAGAGTATTTCTGCCAAATGGGTGAACAAAGTAGGATGGTGTCAATCATACAAGGGTCTTGCAGGCCATGGCAAGGAGTTTGAATTTTATCGTAAATGCAGTGGAAAGTCATTCAAAGTTTTTAGGCAAAAAGGTGATATGATTCAATTTACTTTTTTAACAAATCACTCAGGCTGTTGCATGGATTGTAAAGGGGGCAATAGGGCAGATGAGACTACTCGGTACTAGGCTGTGGGGATAGCAGGGGAGATAGAAAAAGGAGCTGATTTACCAGATATTTTGGATTTGGTGACAAAAGGATTTGTTGCTGGACTGTTGTTGGGAGGCGGTGGTAAGTATTAAAAACGACTATAAGAATTCCAGGCTGGAAATTTGGGTAGATGGTAGTAAAAAAAAAAAAACGATGGTGAAGGAATGTGTTGGGGAGGCATTTGAGATCAAGACTTTAGTTTTGGGCAGATTAAGCCTAAGAGGTAGACAAGCCTCAAAGCAGAGAAGGTATGTCAGTAGCACACTGCAGCATGGGAATATCAATTTGGACGTTGTTGGCATCAAGGCGGTAGTTAGCCCAATAGAAAAGTTGAGATAACCTGGGGAGAAGACGAAATAGACAAGAATGTGGAGGGGAAAAAAAGAGTTTATACAGAAGAGAACAAAATCGCTCATAAGCAACACTGAATAGCATTTTCAGAACGCTACATACTGTATGTGAAAAATTCTCTATATCAGTCCTTTCAGCTTGGCTGGTTCACGGATAAAAAAACTACAAAACATTTCTGCTAATTATGTTTAGGTAAAAGAACGATGCCTGTGATGCCACTTCCATCTGCACTTGAGACTGCAGCGGTTTTACTGCAGACTTCAGTCTGACAAGCCTGAATGGATTCCAACACCGCTCTCAGCCTCCCTCCATGACCCACCTAATTCCGGGCACTTTTACCCTCAGAGCCGCCATCTCGGCTAACTGGAGAGAGTAATGCGCATCGACAAGGCCGCCTCACCTTGGCTCGCTTTAGCAGCTGGATGATCTCGGCCTCGGCCTCGTCCGCCGCATCTTTAGCGGCGGCCCCGCCCGCTCCCGGCAACTCCTCCTCCTCCTCTGCCGCAGTGGGCCTCGAGAACCACGCGAGCGCTGCGGGAAGGGGTTCTGAGGTCACCGGGCCCGGCCGCGCCCCTGTCCCCGCCCCGCTGTCCCCGCCCGGCTCGCGCCCCTCACCTGCCAGCAGCGGCAGCAGGCCTAAGCCCCCGCCGTGCGGCGCGACTTGAGATGGCCGCACCACCAACTCGGACGCCCGGCCTCCTGCTGGCCCCGGAAGCAGGCGCGCCGAACAGATCCGGCACCGCAGCGCCGCGGCCCGCAGAAGGCCTCGGCCCAGGCTTGGGATCAGGAGCCGGTACATGCCCGAGCTGCGTCCTCTGCTCACTGCAGGCCCGGCGAGATCCTAGGGCGTCCCGCCCCCAGCGCCGAACGCCGCCGGATTGGTCGGGCCATGACGTACGAGGAAGCGTCCTCCTTGCCATCCGCATGCGCAATGACGCACGTTGGCATCGCGGCGCCGCGCCCGGCCCTCGGCTATGGTTGGAATACTACACGGATCTGTCAGAGTGTTGTTTTGCTGTGCTTTCTGAGGCGTCTACGTTCTGTAGAGCCATGGCCGTCACTTTGTCAGCGGCCACGTTGCCGGCTGTCGTGGAGGAGCTTCTGAGCGAGATGGAGGCGGCGGTGCGGGAGAGCGCTCGAAGTACGGGCCGGAGGGAGTGTGTGGCTGCGTTGTGGGTCGTGGACCTTGCACCGCCGGTCCGGGAGGCAAGAGGTGGTGGTCTCTAGGCCCGCGGGGCACTGGTTTCGGGGTTACGACCCCGCGCTCTTCGCCCCGAACTGCCCATACTTTTTCCCCGTGTGTTCCATCTCCAAACTCTCATTTGTTTAAAAAAAAAAAAAAATGAAAGAAAAGAGAAAAGCTAAGTTTGTTCAGGAAACAGCGCAGTTTAACCAGGAACAAGGGCTGAGCGTTGCCAAAAAACACGTGAGAAGGCCCTAGGTCAGGAGGGTGGAAGGGACGGGAGTCTACAGGGGCTTATAGAAAGGTAAAACTTTAAATTATTAAACTTGCATGTAATCCCAAAATCTTATGTTAATTTTAAAATTAATCTTTTCATACACTTTGCTCAGGAAATAAATAGGGTCACAAAACCCAAATGCGCAGGCAATGACTGGAATAAATCGATGTTGCGAAAGTACCTCTTTTTTCCTCTGACCAGCAGAAGGTGCTCTGTGACCGTGTTCACTAATATCACCGAGATCTCAAAATTTGTTGACAGCATACTAGTTTTAAAAGGATTTTTTTAATCAACTGCATCTACTAATTAAAACTACTCAACTAACGTAAAAATGGTCATTTAGTAAATAGAAGATTAGGCCTTAAAATTGCCACTGCCTATTCACTTTTGCTTTAAAAAGCCATCCAAGTGAATAGGCAGTGGCACTTTGAAAGGATTTATCTTGAGTTACAATTTTTAAAGGATTGAGAACAGTTAAGACAACTTTTTTTTCTCATTTCGGTTACAGCTAACGCAATGTATATGCTTAAAAAATTAGGCCAGCCAGGTATTCAAACATGTTCCGATCCCAAAAAGGGTAGGATAAAAGTCAATGTGTTGTCAGCTCAGAGGTTGCCAGAAGTGGGCCTTGCGTCCCAATGTATTAATCCATACACTGTGACAGTCCTGAAGACACGTCCCTGATGCTCATGGCTCAGACAGATGGACTACCGCCATCGATTAATGTTTATTTTCAGCAAAATTGTTTTCTGCTATTTAAAAGTCTTTGTTCTAGATAGTCATATACTCTTCCTGACCCCCATCCTTCAATGGCAGATTTTTTTAGATCAAGATTCTGAGTTTACACTCAGTGTTATGATGTATAACATCTAGTCACAGCTGAGCCATGTAGGAAGCTATGATTACTTTTCTTTTCCTTTGTAACTTTTAGTTTTCCCTGAATTAGAACTGTTGTGGTTGTTTGCTTGTTTAGTTTTCTATGCATTTATCCCTAGTTCAACCTCAAACTCTTTTATCGGTGTTCTAAATCTCTAATGAAGATGTTCAGATAATGAAATATTTTATCAGTTTCATTATTCTGTAGACTCTCCTAGAGCCTTTGATTTTCTCTAATATGGGCTGTTGCTCTCCTGGCCGTCTCCTGAGATCTCCCTTAACCATTATTATTCTGGGAATTCCCTTTATCAGTGTCGAACTTCACGTTTAGTATATCCTGCAATTTTTTTTTTCCCGGTTTACTACTTAAAGAGCACATACTTAGGAGCTTCCTGAAGAAAAGTACATGAGATATACTTTTTAAGGTTTTACATGTCTGAAAAAGTTGTTTTTCTATCCTCACACTTAATCGATAGTTTGGCTAAGTATTGAATTATATGTTGGAAATATTTTTTCAGACATCTGAAAGCATTATTCCACTAACTTCTAGCTTCTTAAACTTACTTTCAGTGAGTCTTTCTTATTTTAGCCCCCCTGGTCCATCCCCACCTCCAGAGCTATCTGGTGCCACCAATTTCTGAGGTTTTTTTTGCAGAGAGGCTAGTGGATTCTGTAGTATAAATCAGGTTGTTACTTGGCTCTCATCAGTGCTAGCTTAGAATTCAGTTGTTTCAGGTCTTTTAAATTATTTTCGAATGTATTTTAGCTGTTATTTCTGTCTGTCCTTATCCTCGTGAGTTTTTGCTTTTGGAAAAAATCCTGTTATTGTTTAGTTGAATATCAGTAAGGGGTAAAATTAGTTAGATACATAGGCTCAATTCACTGTCTTTTACAAAAGTCTTCCTGGTTATAGTCTTTTTAAGAATTTTATGTTTGTGGTCACTGGTTTAATATGATTAACTTTCCTTCCATTCCTGTTTTACAGTTCCTGATGAGCATCTATTATCGTAAGTATATATACTGTTGTATTTGGGTGGTTTTTTTTTTTTTTTTTAGCTGTTATTGTGTTTTAAAAGCCAAATTCTTTCAACAACAATTCTTAATTTTTAAAAATATCCTTACTAAACTAGGGAAAATATTTTCTTGATACAATTATTAAAAACTTGTTTCAAGTGAATAGCCAAAACTATCTTTGATTGTACAAGGTATTCCCAAATTGTCCTATATGCCACTTTGTTTAACATTGTTCTAGAAGTTGTAGCTATTGCACTAACACATAAAAAAAGAAATTAGAAGTAAACTTATCTGCAAGGAAAGACAATTATTATTTGTAGATGATATAACTACTTTTTTAAAACCAAGAGAGTAGCCATTTTTTAATATAGAAATTAAAAATTGATTCCCTTTGTACACAAAGTTCAAAAATATAATTATATTCTCAATAGCAACAAAAATAGTGAAAGCTACTAAGGAATAAGTAATGTTTAATTGCATATATATGCTTAAATTTAAAAGTCGAGAAGGATATACACCAACCTATAGTAGTGATTATCTTAGGGGAAAGAAAGGAGGCAGAATTAAAAGAAGAGCTTTAACCTTGTCTCTATTTCTTAAATTTCTTTTTACAAAATTATACATTATTGGGAAAAAAAATTACTACTTTTAAGACAAAGAAAACAAGCAAATAATAATAAAAGATGCAAATTACTGAAAACTTTGAAAAAAAAAATCTTACTAGTGATCATAAAAATACAAATTGAAATAATAAGATAGCTTTCCATCTATAAAACTGGCCACTACAGAAAACATGTTGGTAAGAATGTTCCAGAGGTTGGCAAGAACATGGAGAAAAGCAGGGGTCCCCAAACCCCGTGCCATGGACCACTACCGGGCTATGGCCTGTTAGGAACTGGGCTGCACAGCAGGAGGTGAGCAGTGGGCGGTTGAGCAAACGAATGGATGAGCAAAGCTTCATCTGTGCAGCCATTTCCCAGCACGAGCATCACCACTTCAGCTCTACGTAAGATCATCAGGCATTACATTCTCATAGGACCACTGGTCCCTGGTGCCAGAAAGGTTGGGGATCGCTGGAGAAAAGGATAACTGATAACGCTAGGAGTATAAATTGGAAGTTAATCTGGCAACAGGCAATATGAGTTTTAAAACATACATATTCTTTGACCCAGAATTCCACTTACAAGAATGTATCCCAAGGAAGTAATCATGAGTGTTCATGAATTAACATATTCATGTTATTTATGGTAGCAAAACATATTCATGTTATTTATGGTAGCAAAACAAACAACCTAGAAACAATCTAATTCAGGTTAGATTAATAAACTAATTATCCAAAAATAGAGTTTGGGAAAAATAAAAGTAATTCATCTTTACAGTGGAATTCCTTGTAACTGTTAAAAATGACATAGAGACAGAAATCAAAATGGTGCGGATGATAGAACTTTGTTCATCTGCTCTCACAGAGTTGAGACGGAAACGCTGAGCAAACAGCAAGCAGAGTCGCCTAGGGTGTAGATGAACAAGCCCTACAACTAGAGAGAGAGAAGAAATCACCCTGCAATAGGAAGAGGTAAAACAGGGTGAGATCGCAAGGCTGCCTGGTCCCAAGCGGCTGAGTGGGACAGAGGTTACAGCAGCGGCAGCTACAGACGCCTTTTAAAAGGGCCGTGTCCGCGAGTGAACTTTCATGGTGATGGACCTGCTCACTCTGAGCATGAGCGCCAGGTAGGCTTCTTGGGGGGCACCAGGGACTTACAGGGGAACACTGAGTTGTCAGAGCGAGGGCCAGAGGCAAGGATTTCATCCAAGCAGTACTGGTGGTATCTATTGTTCCTCTGTTGAGCCCCGCCCCCCGGTCCCATCATGTGGACTCAGCGCCGCCGTAGGTGGATAACAGAGGTTGCTCTACGCAGAGGATTCCCTGAAACTACCATGGGGGAGATGCAGCCCCACCCAAGCCACATCTAGGTGTGTTCTCAGCTAGTCCGGTGCTCCTTGCTGAGCAGCACCAAGACTCACAGTTGTGGCAGCTCACCTCGGTTTCTGATGTGGTTTCCTGAGGCAACTATAAGCACAGTACCTGTGGCTTGCTTGCTGAATCTCAACAGGCGGCCCTGGAGGGACACAGGCCAGGACTAAACTTGGCCTGCAGCTGAACCCCTCTCGGGACCGTGCCACTGGACACCTACCACACATAGCTGGGAGACTTAGGAGCTTTTCTTAGTACATATAAACAGACACAGAAAGGCAGCCAAAATGGGAAGACAAAGAAGCAGAAACTATATGAGAGAAGAGAACAGAGATCCAAGAATAATGGAGTCAAGCAATCTAACAGATGCCAAGTTCAAAACACTGATTATAAAGATGCTCAATGAACTTAAGGGAAGTGTAGATGAATTCAGATTTTAAAAATATAAAAACAGAAATGGAAATTACAAAAGGGAACCGGTCAGAAATGAAGAACACATTATCTGAGATGAAGAGTGTATTACAGGGAATCAACAGAGGGGATAAAGAGGATCAAACCACCAATATAGAGGATAGGGAAGCCAAGGACACTTAATCAGAATGGCAAGAAAAAAAGAATCCAAGGCTATAACAATAATTTAAGGAGCCTATGAGACACAATTAAATGTAAAAATATCCATGTTGTAGGGGCACCTGAAAGAAAACAAGAAGTTGAAGAGCTATTTGGAGAAATAATGATAGAAAACTTCCCTCACCTGGTGAAGGAAATAGACATACAACCCCAAGAAATTCAGAGTCCCAAGAAAGGGGAACCCAAAGAAGCCCACACCAAGACACATCATAATTAAAATGCCAAAGGTTAAATACAAAGACAACATCATAAAAGCAAGAGAAAAGCAGTTAGGTACCTACAAGAGAGCACCCATAAGACTGGCAGCTGATTTCTCCAAAGAAACTTTGCAAGACAGAAGGGCTTGACAAAAATATTCAACGTGATGAAAACCTAGGACTACAACCAAGAATACTTTATCCAGCAAAGCTATCATTTAGAGTTGAAGGATAAAGAGCTTCCCAGACAAAAATAAACTAAAGGAATTTATCAACACCAAGCCAATATTACAGAAAATATTGGAAGGACTTCTTTAAGGGGAAAAAAAAAATCAAAATCAGGAATGAAAAATAGTAATAACTACATATCTATCAATGACTACGTCAAATGAAAAAGAATTAAGTGCTCCAAAGAACAGGGTGGCTGAATGGTTAAGAAAACAAGATCTCTACATATGCTGCCTACAAGAGACTTCAGATTAAAAGACACACACAGACTAAATGGAAGGGGATGGAAAAAGATATTGCCTTGATGGACCTAGAGGGTATTTCTCAGAGAAAGACAAATACATGATTTTAAGTACATGCAGAATCTAAACAACAAAATAAACAACTAACAAAAACAGAAACAAACTCATAGATACAGAGACTATTTTGAGGGCTACTAGACAGGAGGAGGGTTGGGGAGGATGGTGAAAAAGGGTGAAGGGATTAAGAAATACAAATGGATAGTTACAAAATAGTCACGGAGTTAGAAAGTGTAGCATAAGGAAAGTGGTCAACAGTGTTGTAATAAATATGTAAGGGAAGAGGGGTGCTAGATTTAGTGGGATGATCACTTGAGCTCTAATCACTATGCTGTACAACTGAAACGTATGCCAACTAGAATTGAAAGAAAACTTATTGAATTGTACAATGTAAATATGAGTAACTAATTCATTGTATGCCAACTAGAATTGAAAGAAAGCTTATTGAATTGTACAATGTAAATATGAGTAACTGTCTATTATATTTCAATAAAGCTGGGGGGGAAGTGACAGAAAATATTGCATTCAAAAGGTGTTCACAATATGTTACAAGATTGACAAGGCAGGTTGAAAATTTTTTATTAGATCCATATTTAACTGTGATTATTCAATTGATAAAGTTATCACCAGATTTTAAATTTTTAACTTTTCTTTGTCCATAGATAATCTCCATATGTGAAATGTAAAAAGTTGAAAAACTTTCCATTTCAATAATTTATTTTATGAAGAGACTCGTTTGTTGTAAAATGAAGTCGAACATTTTAAATTTGAAGTCTTAGTAGTTCTGTCTTATTTCATGTGAAATCACATGGTTTTTTTAAAACATTAACTTTTCAGTTTTAGTTCAACCTATCTAGTTTATAAAAATAACCTATGCTTGTAAAAAAAAGTTCTTAGAAAATAAAGAAAACATAAAAAGCATCACCTCATACCACCCAGTGATAATCACTGTGACATTTTGGCTTATTGCCTTTAAAAATTTTTTATTTTGAGATAATTATATTTTTAAGAAAAAAATGATTGAGTTTCTAAATAAACAATTTTATATCTAACCTTTCTCACGTAACATAAGAATTTTCCCACATAATAAATTTTTTTCTCATATATCATTAGCAGCCAAATAGCCTTTGTTACTACTAATCAAAGAGTACAAATTTAATACCCATCAGATGGTCAGACATGAAAAAGCCTGATAATACCGGTCTTAGTGAGGATGAGGAGAAATTAGAACTCTCAACCAGTGCTGGTTGGGAGAGCTATTTCCACTGTGGAAAGCTAATGGCAACACCTATTAAAAGTGAAAAATACAATTGTCCTAAGACCAGCAATTCTGCTTTTACTTGTATAACCAGGCAAAATTATCATGTGTACTAAGGGACATGCACCAAGATAACTGAGTATTATTTATAATAATGTATAATAGAAACAGAATACCCATCAATAGGGTACTTAAAAAATAAAAGTACTAGGTACATACAATGAAATATTATTCAAAAGGTAAAGTTTTAAAAAAAATCAACATGCATCATTTTTAAGAACATATTGAGTGGAAAGAAGTTTCCAAAAAGCCTGCAATATATTTTTTGTTTTAAAACTTATGAAACAATACCTTATGTATAGTGTACATGTATATGTATATATGTATATATTTGTGTGTACATATACATGCACATACATACTATGTATAAGAAAATATAAAAATGTTAACAGGAAGAAAACAAACAAATGCCTGCAGTTGTCTCAGGGATGAAGGGAAATTGGGAAGAAGAATAGGAAGCACTGCCGAGTATAAAGAGGGCTCCTTTATCTGTAAACAGCATGTTAACATTTATTCTGGAGAATTGAGTACATGAGTTTTTGATTTTTTTCCCCAAACTAAAATGAATTGAATTTTTAAAAGATGCTTATGATGATCCTTTGGATCAAGTTACTGAGATGAGTTTGAAAGTCTAATCTAAAGCCTTCTTATTTCCTAGGCTGAAGTTTGTTTTTGGCTCATCAGCCATCCAGGCCTTGGACCTGGTTGATCGACAGTCCATCACCTTAATCTCATCACCCAGTGGGAGGCGTGTTTACCAGGTAGAAATCTAGAGGTGGAGATTATCTCAACAGAAAACCATTGGGAAAAAATGTTTTCAAGAATCTCTATGGAAGCTGGTGACCATCTTTAAGTATTTACTGCACTGTTGAAAAGCTTTTGACCCATCCTAGTAAAATTAGTGTGCTAGTAATTAGAATAAGATAAATATGCTCTATAAACTCTACCTAGTAGCAATGTATATAACCAGCAATGATGTGGAGAGGCTCTTTTCTCAGATCTAATGGAATATAGTTGACTTTTGCTTTCCCGTTGTTTGATAAGAGAGGTACTTTCCCCCCAAAAAATGTATTGACACCTTCACTTCGTTCATTATCTCTTGCTTACAAGCAAAAGCCAAAATGCATTTTGGAGTCCTTCCACATGCTCAGATTCATCTGTTAGAAATGATCTTTTAAAACTATTGTCAGGAAGTATTTACTAGGGGTCACACTATGCTGAATGCAAGCAGTCTACTTGGACCTTAGTTTTGCCCTCTAGAGTTTAAGATAGGTAGATTTGTAAAGTAACAGCCTCTTATCAGGCTCTGAATTACTTTAATATGTTATTGATAGTTCTCACCAAAAGTCCAGCAATTTTTTTTTTTTTTTTCAGGAAACTGAAATGCAGAAAAGTAAACTAATAGTCACAGCTGGCAGCTGGGATTTGTAACTGCTATCCCACACTGCCTGTCTTTATATAAGCAGTGGGCCAGACTCCAACCCTACCCCCCACTCCCACACCCCCTAGTTTAGCTATCTAGGACAATGATAAATGCAACTGGGATTGAGGGAAGGGAGTATTATGAATGAAATAAAAATATTGGCAGTGGTCTCCAAAATTTTGTTTGGCTTAGAAGGGGTTAAAAAGAAACCAGCAGCTCTTATAAATGTAATCAAGGCCTTGCTGAAGACCTGGAAGGGGAAATATTTCAGTGTTTGGATTCTGATTTATTTACGATGAACTTCTCAGAGCTGAGACCACGTCAATTAATTCTTGGTGAATGACGAGCAAAGCCTGCTTGGGCAAATAGGTGCCTTCGCTTAGTGAATTAACTTGTCATTCCACATTGTAGCATAACTTAGCCGACTTGGCAAAATCTTTGTGCATTTCTTCATTAAGGGAAATGGAGTAATTGGTGTTTAATACTGAAGTTAAAACTTTTGCATCGTATTTACTTTAAAAGAGGCTGTCTATTAGAATTTTCTCCTGGTGAATTTATAGATTAATAATTAAATGTTTGTACCTGAGGAGGTAGAAACATTTTCTTTCCCTGTGTTTTTATTTTTGTTTTTCATGTAGCTAAAATACCTTAAATAAGAAGGGCCTTTGGATATTTCTCATGTCTTTTGGTTTCAGATTTTATATATCAGTTCCAATATCAGCATAACACTTGACTACCCAAGCAGACTTCTTACTGTCCTCTAGTTCTGTGACCTAGTTACTAGTTAAAATCTTAAAGATTTTCTTTGAAATATTCTAGTTACTGTTGACTTTCTGTTCCTCCCAGCGTTACTATGAGTTATTTTCTTCATTCACATCCTGTATTAGATTACATTGCTTTATTTATCATAAAAATACTAACTTTCTAGAATTATGGCTGTCAGCTTGAACTTTGAATTAAATGAGGCTGTAGAAATCTTATTAAATCAGATTAACTTTAATGGTTTCATTGTATTGTAATATAGTAAGAATTTGGCTTTTTTCACAGATTCTATGAGATGATAAAAGTTGAGTCAGACATTCCTTTGATACGCTGCTAGTTATCTTTCCTTAAGTCAACCTTCTAATATTCTTACTGTCCTCCAGGTATAATGGTAATTATGCTAAAGTCACCATTATATTGGTGTCACCTGAGGTGATTTTTTTATAAACATTTTTGGTTCAACTAGGAAGGAAGATGCATCAGTTAGGAGAGGCTGTTATGCTGTAGTAACAATGACCTCAAAATTTCGAAGGCATACAAAAACAAGGTTTTATATTTCATTCATGCCATGTATCCATTAAGAGTCAATTGCTCCTCTACTCTAAAACGTCTTCCCTCTGGCAATCCCAGTTGGTGGAGCACCCCTCCCTATCTAGAACATTGTGGATCACATAGCAAAGAGAAAGGAGGACATGGTGTGTGCCAATTTTTACTGTTTCTGCTTGGCTACTCACATTTTACTGGCTGGCTAAAGCAGGTCACATAGCCAGCCTGTATTTAATAGGGCAGGAATGTATAATCCTCTTTCTGAGAGAGGCACCAAATACTGAGAACAATAAATAATAGTTTTACCACTGTGATGGGTCCTAAGAAGCTTGGAGCAGTCATAAAACTTACTTGTGAGTGGATGACCATCTAAGGTGGGTTACCATCCTTAGAATCTAATTGAAACCACAGCAGACTTCCTCCAAGTTAGGTTCAAACAAGTCCAGTCATGGGCCTGAGTATCCTCTTTCCTGCGTGTTTCTTTTTTTAAAAGCTCCTTTTGGTGATAAACATACCAGACTACGAGTGGAAGAACTGGGAGCAATTCTTGTTAAGGGAGGTCATTTTTCCATTGAAGGATGAAGGAATTAGGTGATCCCTAAGGTCACCTAATTCTAGTTCTAAGCATTTCCACCTCAGATATTTGCCTGATTATTGGGTTCATGAGTTGGCCACTGTTAGATAAGGAAGGAGCAAATTAAAAATGTGTTCTCTCCTTATGGTATTTACTGTCTCAGGTGGTTATCACTTTACATTTTAGTCTTAGCCAGCCTTTGAAAGGATCAGGCTAGGGAACCTCTGTAGACTTTCTCCCCATCCCTAAGTCACCATGCATTTATGCAGCATAGTCCAGAGAATATTCTGTTAGATTGGGGACCCGCAATAAGGAGGAACCAGTGGGCCAGTCAAGTCAGTGTAGAATTCCAGAAGCTTATGCCTGTTTAACTTTAGATCTAGAGAGAACATAGAGACAACTAAAGTATGAAAAAATCTAATTGGTAATAGTTTGGCGACCCAAGAATTGTTTGTGTCACTGCTGGATGTTGGTGGGTTTTCTTCCAAGATTAAGTAGAAAACAGTCTGCTTTAATGCTCTCCCTTAAGTTTTCCAGATATATGAGGAAATTCCTCTATGATGCTCAGTGGTATAGGTGATATGTTTAAAACATATCAGTGCCTCAAAATCAAATTATGGATGATGTGATTTTTTTGATACTTAATTTGTAACTAGGATTGAAATTTTTAATGAGTACAATAGGCATCTTCTAATCACTCATTGGCCATTTCTGGTAACCTAGCAATCACTGAGGAATTCAACTGAGTTGATAAAAAAGCCATAGGGACATGGCCATATCACGAATCATTGGACATTTGACAAACAGAAGCATGACACTGGAACACTGCTATTCTTTGAAGCCTTACCTGTTGCTTTATTTTTTGTGGGGGAGAAAGAGAAAATCCTGGGAGTGCTGGCATTATTTTTCAAAAAAAAAAAGAAAAAGTTCTGGCCTTTTCATTTAGATTGCCATCTTGAACCTAAAACTAATTTGAAAGCCCAGTGGCAGATTCTTAAGTGGCAGTTCATTGTAAAATAACCCTCAGGATGTTTCTACTTCCCTTGGATACTAATTTTACACTTCCAGTTTGGAAAATAACTTTAGAAATGAAGCTCTCAACATTTTTGTTTTTGGCTGCTTTGTGGTAGAGAGACTTAAACAAGTGATATCTCCAACAAGTTTGTCCAGTCACACCACAGATGCATCATGTTTTCCCTATATGTCTCCTTTTTTGACCCTTGGTTGCCAGCAATGCTGTTTGTCCTTGGACTGAGTCTCTTACCAACCCCTCACATATCTGTCTTTTCCTTGTGTACTGCTAGATGAATAGGCAGATCCGGACTTGCTTCTTTCTGAGACCTCCATCCTGACCAGCTGAGTCATCCCTTTTGCAAGATTATTTATTTTCCCTGTTCTCAAATTCTTTTCAAAAGCCTTTCCCCACTTTCTTCTGAAACCTATCTTTCTTCCTCACTGCTTACATTTTACCTGTTTGCATACTCTCTTAAGGTACGTGAAATACCAAATGTTAAGAAAGGCCACAATAAAATGTAGATGAGAGGCCTTTCCCATCACCTCTTCATACTCATCCCACGGAGTCAGTCGGCCCTCTACAAAATGGTTTGTGTCGATGGCTTAAGCAGCCTGAAATTCAATTTCATCGTATGAAGAAGTCCTCAAGGGCAAAACACTAAGAAAAGGAGAAGAGTCTGCACACAGGGAAGTTAAGTTTTTACTTTTGTGTAAAATGTTACTGCAGTTCATCCCAATGCAATTTATAGAGCAACTCTGAGTTACCAGATACATTCAAGGGAAGGAAGCGGTTTCCCAGCATATCTTTTGAAGTCTGATCCCATCTGTCCTTTTCTTTCTAGGTACTTGGAAGTTCTGGTAAAACATACACATGTTTGGCTTCTTGTCATTACTGTTCATGTCCTGCATTTGCCTTCTCAGTGCTACGGATCTTCCTACTATCGTTGAATTAGGAGAGAAGCAGCCCTTCATGGTTTAACAGTTAAACCATGTAAAATGGGAATTTTACTACATTTGAAACAGATAGTAGTCTGCTGCCCTTAACTTCAGTTAGTCATCTCTTTTGAGTTTAATCTCCAAAATTGTGGTGTCATTTTTAGAACTACATTAACACCAATTTTTTATTTAAGAAGTCATGGATAAAGATTTGGGGAAGGTAACAAGATAATCCTGAAAGCTGTCACTGGGGAATTGGATGGCCCAATAAAAATAAGAAACTAAATTGGATGTTGGCAACTTTGCATATCGTCAGCTCCAGCCATGAGGTATTTCTTCGCACTACCTGTCAGATAGCCCGGCACTTAGCTATGCTTGACTTACACATGAGGCCGGAGAGCACATTGATCCTTTGCTGATGTCACAGGAGTCTAGAGCATCAAGCAGGAAATAAAACATAGACAGTTCCTTATTTCAAAGGAGAAAGCGCTATCCACATGAGAGCAGGTAGCTATATTTTAAGTCTTGCCAGAGAAGAAAATTATAGCATCCACTCCATTCTTGCCCTTCTTTTACACTGTTAACTTCATTAAACATCTTGGGAACTAGGTGGCAAATGGGGTATCACATTGTACAAGAGGCTACATTCACAGCTGATATGCCATGGGTTTATTTCACCTGTAAAATGACAGAATTAAACCAGGCCCCCTTCAATGTCTAAGGCCGTGTGTTCTGTGATACAAGGTCCAACATAGATCATCTCCCCAGAAGTGTCTACAGGCCGATTTGTGTGAGGGTTCTGACACCTCACCACCACCCCTCCATCCCACCCCATCCCCTAGAAGAATAACATAGTGATTAAGGGAGTAGACTGTAGATTCTGAGCACATGATTAAAATGGTAATAAGAGTTGTTCTTACGGGGTAGCTGTCAGATTTAAATGAGATAATCTCTGAGAAGCACTTAGCAACACAGTACCTCAAGGAATATTATCCATTGCTATTAGCAGGTTTCTGAAGGTAAGGGAAAAAATATATAACTCAGAATTACTCTGTGCCAGTTGAATCTAAACTGTTTCCCAAAACAACAAGCAAAGTAAGACTTCCTTTTTCTCCTCTGACTTCTAGAAAGAATACATCTGTCTCATCTTTATCTGCAGTTTTTAAGCAATAAGTTAACGACCCATAATCAGTGTGTCCCACTCCTTTCCTACTAAATGTAATGGTAGTGAGAGGTCTTGGTTAGCCTGGCCCGGCCAATTTCTAATGGGTTGGTGTGTTTTGTATTCCAGTGCAAGCACCTCTTGGCAGTTTATCTTAGTCAGGTAATGAGGACCTGTCAGCAGCTAAGTGTCTCGGACAAGCAACTGACTGACATATTATTGATGGAGAAGAAACAAGAAGCATAAAAGGTACTGATTGAGCATTATTATCTTTCAAAATAGCAGTCCTGTCGAGAAATGCATTTAACCAATTGTGGTTCACACAGAAGAAAGGTAAAACAGATCTTCCAGAGACTTCTTGTTACTCTCCCTTTTCTCTCCTGGACTACAGAAGGTAACTATAGATTGGAACCCAGAATAGCTATATAGTTTGAAACCCTGTACAAATCTCCTCATGAAAAATCTGAACCAGCCTCTAAGCCCCATGGGTAAAAAATTTTCTAGATGGAATCAAGCATGTTAGACCCAAACAAAGCCTATCATCATGTCTTGTCCACAATTAGATTCTTAAGTATCTGAAGTACCAGTAATTTTTTTTTATATCAGTGAGCTTCAGATATCCGTGGTGTTGTGCCAAAATACCTTAAGTAAGCTGTATTGTTAGAATGGAAGTATCAAGTACAAGGGAAGTGCTCCGCATGCATTTCTGAGCTTTATAACAAGCCAAATGAAGGAAGGGACTAAAAAATCATATCCTGAAGGAAGCTAAAGATACTCCTAGGGATTTCCGGTCTGAAGGAAAAAAGGCAAAAGAGACATACCAAGAGGAATGTTAGAAAGGAAAGAAGTGAGACTTGTTTGTGCCCCAAAGAGAGTACAGAGGAGCAATAATAATGAAAATGAACATGAGGCAGATTGCAGCACTGGACAAGAATTTAATTGATAAAGCTGTCCATGGCCAAAATAGGATCCTAGAAGGGGAGGAATTCTTCCTTGTCTCTGTAGGAGTTTGTAAACATGCAGTGTCCTTGCAGGAATATTGCAGAAAGAATTAAAGGTGTGAACAGATGAAAAAGATGATTTTACAGCCTAGGAAATTCCCAGCCCTGTGCTCCCAAAACATGAGGTGCTAGTGAATGAATGCTGTGTGAAAAAGCCACAGATGTTGCAGTGTTCTGTGGTTGGCAGAGTCTTTAGTTACACTGAAGTATGGCAAATAAAATCTATTAAAACTTTTCTGCTACTTGGGAAATGGGCTGGGTATAAATTTATTTTTTTAAGCAGTCTTCACGGTAAAGAATAGAAGATAAATGCAGCTCTTTCTGACAAGCCAACACAGCACCCTAAGCTTTTTTTTTTTTTTTTAATGTTTTATTTTTATTTTGCCTAATATACATACACAGTTACATAATTCTACTTAGTAAAATTTTCACACTTTGGAATCCGGCAAGTTGGCAAAACTTGAATTTGGGAGAGAAGTAAAATTCACTGCTAGCTCTAGGAGTGTAAAACGGAATCTGGTAGAAGACGGATCCTATTTCTCTAGTTTCTTTCTCTAGGGTAGTTTGCTGTATATGGAAAAGAATGTTATCAACACTGATATCTGATAGTATTCTCCTTAAGAACTTATGAGAGTCTCATTTCCCTAAATTAATATAGTAGTTTCTTGATTAAAGAATTATACTTTTAATTTTCCTGATTACCTTCCTAGGAACAAGTATATATTTTTAGTATGCCCAACTTTTATTTTTACAGTGCCTCTCAGTTTAAAAAATATTTGTATTATAATAGTTCACAGTGTTTCACAGTAAAATAGTTTCAGTCATTTTCTACCATGAAAGAGGCAGACTTTAAAAAAACAAAACATTCTTTTACAATCTGTTCAAGCTATCAGCATCATCCACGCCGTAAGAGCAGCCAGACAGAACCATATATATTTGTCAACCCTTGGAACCTACTAATAACATGTACATAGTAGCTAGACATGTCGTAACTCCAAGAAAGTGCTCAAAAGAGGCAACCCATATGCTTGTGAGGTGTAGCTGTCTTTTACAATGAGAATCAGCCAGTCATGTCCTGTCCCTTTGTTTATTATGAATTTGTGCCTTCTCCTCTAAGGGGACAGAGGCTAGGTCACAGGCCCACATCGAGGGCAGGCTCCACCCCCGTCTGCCCATTCCCACTCTTGAGGACATCTGTCTGGCAGAGAACATACCTGGAGATGATTTTGTGAAAAGTATAGCGGAAATCTCGGTTCCGGTAGGCATAGACAATGGGATTGACAACTGAATTGGCATGTGACAGGAGAATGGCCATGTTCATTGCCCACTTGGGCTTATCTTTAGCCTGAGCTGGCTGAAAAAGAGTGACACAGTTGATAGCATGTACTGGTAGCCAGCACAGAGCAAAAATCCCAACGATCATGGCTAGGGACTTAGCCGCGTGGATCTCCCGCTGGAGTATGGTCCTTGAGTGGTCCATCAGCTCAGTGCGCTGAAGCTGCCTGCAGGCCACCATGAAGATCTTGATGTAGATCACTAGCATTATGAGCAGTGGGGGCAGGACACACCCAAAGAAATTGAAATATACCATGTAGCTCATAGGGACTACATTCTCGAAAAGACACTTCACAAGGCAGCAGCTTTTATTCGTGATTCCGTCCCAGGACTCTGTGCAGTTGGTGGCACTGTCTTTACTGTTCCACCCCAGGAACGGGGTCAGTCCAATGACAAAGGCAAGGACCCAGAGGACAGCAATGACTCCTCTTGCTCGGGTCCCAGTGACCAAACTCTTATACCTGTTCAAAAGAACATCATCTGTTATCATCGGTTTACAGTACTCTACAACTAAAGTCAAGGATCCCACCTCTGCTATTGTTTTATGGCCTTTACTCCTAACAGCCTCTAAGGTTCACCCTCAAAAGGCACCATGGCCTTTTACCCTCTAAACCAACACTAAAGACCTGCAAACAGGCATGAACAGCTTTGCTCTAACAAGCTCAATAAGATTTTCATTCTTGACTTATTAACTCACCTCTGTTTAGTGACAAATCATGGTCATTGAGAATAAGTGGAGAAGTCTTAAAGGGTGCTTTCCAATTAACCCAGATACTGACCTGTGAATGTAGGTCTTCTATAAGACACTGTTCTGGGTGGTTGAGATAACAGCAGTGAACAGAACACACAAAGGTCCCTGCTTTTAAAGGGACTTACATTCTAGTAGGGGGAGACAGATAATAATAACAAACAAAAGTTAGTAAGTTAGAGGGCATGATAGGAGGATAAATGTATAGTAGAAAAAAAGAAAAAGTAAAGAAGATCGGAACTGGCAGGGACTAGTTTTAAAGAGGTCAGTCAAAGGAAGCTTCAGTGATAAGGTGACACTTAAACAAAAGGCTGAGGAAGTGAAGATTGGAGCCCCTTGGAATCAGGCATCACTGCCTGGTGGCTCTGGGCAAGAATCTGGTCTTCCACAAATACACTAGAGGTTTGCCTTGGATTATGGGAAGATTCGTCCCTAAATACCTCTGTAAACTGCTGGAGAACAAGAGTTTTGGCAATGTCCCTAACTGTCTCTACTAGCAGCAAAGTTAATTTTTTAAAAAATGGGGAATAACTTAGCAAATATTAAATTTTTAGTAATTTTTAAACCATTAAATCTTATTTAAAATCTCTACAAATCAAAATATACATTTTAGACATTTTGCTATAAACTAGTCTATATGTGGTTTATAGCAAAGCTATAACCTTAGCTATTAACAGCTGGTCCATAATATATATGTTCAATATAACGTATTGAGTAAAGGAAATAAAATCTTTCCTTAAACTCTGGAAGAAAAATTGAGAAATAATTTGATACACATTACCTTAAGACTTGCCTATGGAAATTGTCCAATTTCCTTTGCCTGCAGGATAAAGCCAGTACTTTGCAGCATGGCCCACAGAGCCCTCCAGGCCTCAGCCCCACATACCCAGTGCCTGCCAGTCCTAATCAGTGGTTCCTCCTGGCTCATGCTGCTTTCAACATTGGATGGAACACCTGTTTTTGTTTCAAGGGTTACCTCCTTTCCTGATCACCTCTCAGGCAAAGATGGCCACTCCCACTCTCTGGCCTCATATACATACCTTGTCATAGAGTTGCTTTATCTGTTACATTTATTTCCTCTCAAAGAGAATGTCAACCTCTTCAGGACTAGGACCTTTACATTGGTATCCCCAGGGCTTAGCACAGTGCCTGGCATGTAGTAGGTGCTTAATAATATGACCATTGTGAGTACAGTCCTTATTTGTTATTTATTATCGAACAGCTTTAAAACAAAATTCTGTTTACTAGGAATATCTGATGCTGTGGCCTGGACAGACAGGAGAACTAATACAGTTTGCTGAGGAACTTAACTGAGATCTTGCCTCATAATTGGAAGTGATCCCTAGTCTCCTCTGTTCCCTATGAGGGTGGCCCTCAGCAGTGGGCAGCTCAGTTGTGGGACCTTTACTACAGAAGACCTGCTGGACTTGGCTGCTCACTGAATTTTGCTTGGCCAGTAAATCCACCCATTTCCAAACCATTTCTGCTTCCCTCCTCATTCGAGGAAATAAAGCCATTCCTTAAAAAAATGTTATTCCTGGCCATTGCCTTACCAAAGAAATGAAGAATGCAATTAGTCCCTGCAGGATGACAAGGCAGCCTCCTAAAGGCCAAGCACTCAGAATCACAGGACTTTAGATAGGTGAGGCAACCATCTCAACAGCCCTGCCTTACTCCTTTGTTGTTTACAGCAGGGGTCTGAGGCCTGTGGCCTTTTAGGAACTGTCTGCACAGCAGGAGGTAAGCAGTAGGGGAGCAAGTGAAGCTTCATCTGTATTCCTCAGATCATCAGGCATTAGATTCTCATAGGAGCACTGGTCCCTGGTGCCAAAAAGATTAGAGACTACTGGTTACAGGACTCACCTGTATTTAATTGAGTACAGCTGAATACAGGCCAGCCCTGGGGGATGAATTATATCTGGGATAAGCAAATTCTCTTGTCAGTAATGGTCAGTGGTTGATAGTGAGGTGGTTCTGGGCAGTGAAACTGAAGGGAGTCTGCTAGGGTACTCTTAGGAAAGATTTTACTTCTTGATAAAAGAGAGAGACCTATGAGGAGTTATTCCCCCTGCCCATCTCTTTGCACTTTGGGATGCTCTTCTGAGAGGCTGTGTAGATGCCTAGAACTGCAGCAGCCATTTTGGGACCAAAAGGGACAAGCCTGAAGACAAAGCAAAGGCAGAAGGAAAGAAAGAACCCAGATCCTTTTTTTCCCCTCCTCTTTAATTTCACCCCTCCCCTCCAGTTCCACCCCTGACCTCTGTTGCCGTTTCCCCTTAAGGACTGGATCTCTGAAGGTGGGGGCATCTCCTCCCACACACTTGCGGCGTGTACCCAGGGCCTGGCACCCCCTGCGCACTCGGGGGCCTGGTGCACTTGGGGGCCTGGCACACTTGGGGTACGGTCCGTGGCTCTATCTGGGGTGTGAGCCCAGGACTTTCTGTGTGTAAAGCAGACATGCTAACCACTACACTATGGAGCTACCCCCAAGAGCCCAGATCCTTGAGGACTATACCAACCCTCGAGCCATCATAGCTCCATATTCTAGTTCAAGAGATAATTAAAAGTCTCGATTGCTTAAGCCACTGTTACCTGCAGCCAAAAGCATACTCATACAAACTGGAAGAGACTTTTATCTCTTTTAGTCCAACCTCTCCTAGTTTACAAATAAGGAAACAAAGACACAAAGCCTTTGAGAAACAAAGGCAATAGAAGAACCAAAGAGCAAAGCTAAGTCAGGACTCTCAGTCCTGTGTTCCTTGCACCACGTTATGCTGCTCCTTTTACTTTTTTAAAAAGCAATAATAGATATGGAGTACTCTGTACACAGAGGGATCACAAAGGGTGGCTTCTCGCTACAGTTCAAAACAACAACTGGAGTCCACACACATCAGAACTTGTCAAAACTGCTATATCCTGCACATGCGAAAAACTACTTTTATGCTAAACTGTCTTAGATAAGGAAAAGCAGCTGATTTCATCTGTGAAGCAGCTGGTCACAACTTTCTCTGAATCCCTATCACAGCCTTTCTTCCTCATTGGTTCATATATCATTCAGAGTTCTTCTTTTGTACTATGCACTGTGCTAGGCACTAGAAACATAATTACAGTCCTCATGGGTTGTAAAGCTAATGGAAGAGACAGTAAGTAAACACACAGATGTGTAATTACAAATCAGAATGAATTTCGCCAAACCAAAATGAACAAACAGAATACAGATAAGACAAAAACAGGAAAATCTTGGGCCTGGGATGTTTCGGAAGATTTCTTAAGCAGAGCTAAAGGTTGAGAAGGAGTAAAAATTGAAAAATGGAAAGAAGAGCATTCCAGGAAGAGAGAACAGAATGCGTAAGGCTTTCAGAAAGGATAGGATTTTACTTTCCTAAAGAAACAAAAGGAAATGTGAATGAACCTGAAAGATGAGGCAGAGGCCAGCTCAGAAGCATAGGAAGGAATCCGGATTTTGATATTCAGAGTGCAATGGGAAGTACTAAAAGTTTTTAAGCAGGGAAATGATAATGATTTATGTTTTATAAAGCTCAGAGAGATTGGATTTTAAGTGAGCAAAAAGGAAAGCAGATTAGTTAGGAAACTATTCAAGAAAATATGTTGACTTGGACCAGAGTGATAGCAAAGATGGTGCAAATAGATACACACTTTGGAGGCAGAACCAACAGTTCCCAATGAATTGGATGTAGGAAGATGAAGACTCAAGGGCAATTCGGGCTTTTTCCTCTGATGTATTAATATTTAATTAATACTGAAACTGTGTTAAAGGAAAGAGTGTAAAAAAGAGTGAGTTGTAAGGAAATTAAGATCAAGAGAATGGTGGATGTTACTATCCTGATGAAAATGATCAGTAGAGAGTAGATGCAGAAAAAAGGCAAGATTACTAAAGAATCTAAGAATCTGAGGAGGTAGGAGGATGTAGAGCCCAGGGCACATGTGGAGGTACTCTTCTCTGCCATGGCAGAAGGACTAAAGAACAGGACCAATGCAGGGAGGGTGAGGATTGGGTAGTGAGAAGATAAAGGCAGCATCTCCTTTGAGAGCTGTTATTACCCCAGACAAGTGTGAAGAAAGTCATCACTTGAAGAAAAGAAAGCTAAGACACTTGAGTTGTTGCCTCAGGAAGTGGAAAAGGGAGCTTGCTAGAAAAATGTAGCGGGATGGCCTTTATGATTTTTGCGGGTGGCATGGCTTCTTTTAACAAGGTGCAGGTTGGACCATGGGAGTTGGAGGTGAGGAAGAGTGAGAGAGAGACTGAGGAGATGAAAGAACTGAGACCAGGGTGCAGAACACTCAAGCAGGGTGGCTGTTGCAGTCAGCAGAAATGATGACAGCGGTAGGGGAGATGGTAGCAATGAGAGGAGGAGCGGTGTGTTTGGACAATGGGAACTTCAAAGGTTCAGGTATTTTGCAGGAGGGAAGGGGATACTACTCTGGAAAGGAGAGTGGAGAGAACCAAGAAAAAGAGCTCTAGCTCAAGTTCCCACCTGTCGTCCAGGATGCAATAAGGAAAGTAGTGTCCTTGAGGGAAGGGGCAGGTCTCAGCCAAGGCCGGGTCATGGAGGGAACATTCAGAGAAGAGGTTGAGGACATAGGGATTTGGTGATATCCCAGAGAGCACAGAACTTGGGAAAGCGAGGTGGGACATTGAGTCTAATCAGCCAGGGGTTGATATATAGAGCATTGTGGGATTGAAAATTTAAT